CTTTCCTTATTGGGTGGTCCTGTGGCCTCCTTAGCACGTGCCCATACCATCGCAGACGCTGTTCCCGTACCTTCAGCTGGACAGGGGCAGTCTGCATGACCGCTCTGACATCCTCGTTTCTGACCCTGTCCAGTCGCGTCCAGCCGCAGGCCCATCTCAGCATCCTCATTCAGCGGAGTGAAGCTGCCTTTCGTGATTCTTGTTCAGGGGCCAGCACTCGCTGCCGTAGAGCATCGCAGGCCTTACCACTGTCCGGTACACCTTCCCTTTGAGCGTTCTGGAGCACCTTCGATCGCAGAGGATTCCAGTGGACTCCCTCCATTTCATCCAGGCCGCGTTGATTCGTGCCTTCACTGCCTGATCCACACCGTCGGCTGCCAGATCGCTCCCGAAGGTATCGAAGTCCTCCACTCTTTCGATGGTCTCACCATGGCCGTCCACGATCGGCTCTGCACCCTCTTCAGAGCTCAGGAACTTGGTCTTCTTGACATTCAGCCGGAGCCCACCTTCTGCCAGGACTTTCTGCCATTTCTGCACCTTGGCCTGTAGTTCTTCTCTGCTATCCGCTATCAGGGCGATGTCGTCAGCGTAGAGGATGGTCTTTAGTGGTCCTTCCATGAGCCCCTTCACCATGACATCTAGTGTTAGGAGGAAGAGGAACGGGCTCAGAGCTGACCCTTGGTGCACCCCAACCGTGATGTCCACCTCCTTCGTTAGGCCGTGGGGTGCGTATGGCTGCCTTAGCCCCACCGTACATGTCCTCAGGTGTTCTGGCACATTCCGTTCCCTGAGCGCTCTCCATAGTACTGCTCGCGGTAGCCGGTCGAACGCCTTCTCCAGGTCGAGGAAGGCTAGGTAGCAGGGTCGGCGCTTTTCTCGATACTTCTCCATCACTTGCCTGCGATGAAGATGGCATCCGTTGTGGATCCTTTCAGGCATGAACCCGAACTGTTCCTGGGAGATCGGGACCAGCTCCCAGGAACGTTACAGCTTCATTGTATGAGCAGTCAACTTGATGCTGCGGTAGTTGGTGAGTCTAGCGTCCCTATCTGTTTGAGGGATGGGACGATAGTGCTTGTTTCACGCATTGACTGCTTTTGCCGCCGGTGATGTGTTCGAAAGCTGGTGAGCCATCTGGTCCGTTACATTTCGGACTTCGGTTGGAAACACCGCCCATTCTCAATTTGACTGATGATGAAAAAAACTACTATTTTACCGGTGAAACACGGCAAGTTTCGCGAGACTTTCGGACTGGAGACTGAACAGAACGTGAGGTGGAAAGAACTCAATGCTGCCAGGGAGGTGATGCAGGTATCGTTACTTCTTTCATACGATGACTCTTCTTGTGTCGCAATGTAAAATTTTCAACTGTATTTTTCCACAAATGAGATATTGCGATGAAAGTAGGAGAAAAATTATGCAGTGGTTCTAGTCGTGGGGAAAGTCATATTACGCCACAATACTCAGCTGAGAAATTCACTTAAAGCAACAGTTCAGGAACGGTTTCGCGGGAAAAAACCACCAATAATGAAGTTGTAGATGAAAACCAGACGATTAATGTATGAAAAACTGGAAAAAAACGTCGGGGAGGGTCTTAGACAGGTACTCTCCCTCTGCCGCTCAGCAATGGATAAAGACGCACGTTGGACGAGTTGTCTGAACGTGCCCGCTGTAAACGCGCTCCATTTTTCAATCAATTTTCCCTGTGGTCCCAAAACGAGCACGATTGCCGACGCGTCCAATGACGGCCGGCAAGGGGGCGGGATTGGGGAAATCCCCAAGAACACCCATGTTTGAGGGACTTTCCACCCTGTTTTTGAGTTTCTGAGGTAAGTTCGTTTATTATTTCCACTGCATATGTTCTTCACTAGGGCTCGTGTATCCCTCAGTAGTAGTGGCATTGAAATTTTCGGACCCTCCCTGAACTGTTGCTTTAAGCATATTCTGTCAAATTCATATTTCTAGGCGGGTATATTATTTCGATATGGAGCTTGCCACAAAAAGTATTGCATTGCTACACGGAGTTGCAAAGTTCAACTCGAACGAATGCTTCTGTATTGTATGCTGGTAGAACCGAGGAAGACTGGGAGGAGAAGACCGGTCAGGGAGTACGAGCGAAGACGAGCGTGTTCGAGAGCGTTTTTTTTTTTTGCTTACAAATCTCGGTTTGTATTTTGTTTGTTAATGGAACTTTATGATTGAAATGAACGGCGGATACTTTTTTCTTTACCTAATTTTTGTGACCACTGTTAGGGCTATATGTTAGCTAATTATGCGCAGGTAAATGAGTAGAGAAAAGTGGACTGTCGGTAACTGTAAGTTTTTTTTTCTACATAGAGATTGTTCCTCACTTGCTCCGCAACACCAATTCAACAAGATGATCACCTGTTTACAAACGGGCACAACGTAATAAGAAAATATAACAAATATAAAATTTTCGGGGAAATATGTTCTTCTTGATGAAATGAAGGCAATTATTATTGCAACAAACAGACACAAGAGTCACAGACAGATGAGATTCAGCAACAACCAGTTAAAATCAGTACAGCGGTTAGTGATCTGTACACTGGTGTGGTTCGGCTTCAATCAAGGGAACTAGCATCGCAGCGGCGTAACCGAGCGGGTAATAGGGAGCAACACCTAAATCCACTTCACTTCACTGTTACTGTGCGACCTTGTGCACATTGATAATTATCGATGTAGCACTGTACATAGAATCAGCTATACGAGTCGTGGGCTAAAAGTGATCAAATTCACGATTCGCTTGGTTGGGACGGGTAAAAGTCGCAGAATTTGTGACCCTGCATTTAGTGGAGAAGTCACGACAGTGTTGAGACCAACGTACTAAAAAAATATACGTATCGGTATATTTGCATAACAATGATAGATGAGCTTCTGAAACCAAGCAAACTACTTAATTGGCGAGTTGCAATCTAGCAGTCCAAAGACTGTATGTAACACTTCCACCTGGGATGAGATGAAAGTCTGCCAAAATTTGTTTACTGCTCCGAACCGGGGCTTCCTCGTGGAAGATGTAGTTGTAAAGAACTATATGGATATGTAAGGCCGCATCCCGCAATGTTATCGGCAAATATTAGGGAACGGTTGGAAGGGAATTGTGCACCAAAGGTACCCTGCGATCAGTTTTTCGGAGAGACCCTTTTGCATATGCCGCACTCTGCACCTTGATCGTAAGCTGTGTCTTTATCTCCTATGGACCGGGTATTAATGTGATGCACGCCCACCGTTGGGTTATTTGTGTATCACTCTGCGCTATGCTTCTCAACCCCTCTCCTTGACGCCTATTGCTTCAATGCTCGCTGATGTGCTTGCCGCTTATGTCAGACTCTATAACGTAGCTCTACTTGGGTCGCATCTAATTCCATGTCCGAAAAAGTACCATCCAAAAAAATCAATCGTGAGACTTTAATCACTCATGGACCGCAAGATGTTCATGATGAACCACGCTTCTGCTTGAGGAAAAGCGTTTTCTTGATTGGAAAAATTTCACTTCTCTAGGATGTATTTATATTTCGTGGACTCGAAAAAACAAAATATGTGCTATTTTTTATTGAACTTTGGTGAGCTCAGTAAGTGATGAGGAAAGAGATAAGGTGCAAGGAAGCGGTCCGTAGCACAATTATGACAGAAGTTTCCAGAACTCTCTAAAAATCAGACTTTCACTATTCACACATCAGTTCCGGAAACAGCCAACAACAATCCGTTCTTCTCTGCGGAAGCCAGGTACGATATCATGAAAGATGCTCTGACGGATGCCAGGCTAACGATACAGAAGAGCATTTAGGTTGAACGCGTATGGCTGCAACTGCAGCTCTTCCTAGTGGAGAGATATCTTACAAGTTAAAGAACGTGTCTTACCTTCGCCCACAGTTTCCCTCCAAGGCGGCAGTGGTCTAGGAGGAAGGGTCGAAGTGAAAGTAGATATGCCGTTTTTCGTACCTAACCGCAAGAACGACCGACAGGAGGAGTACGATTACGCGCTGGATTCTCCTAATCTTGCAGGTTCACTGTTTTTGAATGCTGTAGGCTTCTATCAGTACGTACATAGACTTGACAGTTTGCAGGTTCCATCGAACAGGTTCAACTGCTCTGATTCGCTTTTGAGAAATAGCCGTTAATTCCCAAATCCGCTTTCTATTCAGAAACACAAATTTTAGTTGACGGGACGCCATATCCTGCTACAAGGCACAAGTTCCTGAGTGTGTTTGGCTCGTTAGCATGCTGGGCTTCATTCGACCATAACATCTGTCGCCGAAGTGGATCAGCACGATGTTGTTCGTTTGGTCTGGAATGGAACTACTGAGAGATCATCTGTTTTCCTGAATCCCTTTCATAATATACGTGAAAATCCATGCAGCTGCCTCCGGAAGAGCCAAAAAACGTGGCGTATTTTGATGGATTACTTAACTCTCATCGTTTTTGTTGAGGCTGCTCCACTTTGAAAATACCGGAGTGTCATGAATCTTAGGGATCCAAAAGTCAGGTCGACAACGATTCGTTTATAGTAACACACGGGGGTGGTCGTTCTGCTTGAGTTGTAGGAGGGGTCGGTCCTGTTTCAAGCCGCGCGTATACATTCGGAGTGTCTGAATGCCTAGGGGTCTCAAAAAACAGGGTCACCCTAAACAGTCAAGTCCACCTTGGGGGAGGGGAGGTCGTAAAAATTTTTGAAAAAGTAACAACGATAGGACTGACCCTGCTCAAAACTCCCTCTGATTACCGTTTGCTAATCTAAACAAGCCAGAGCCTCGTAGGCCCCCGTCAGGCCCCCCGAATTTCAGTGATGAAAATAACAGCCCGTTGGAAATGAGAGACATAAGATGGACAGTCGATGCACCGAAGAATAAAAGCCAACGAATGCCTAGGATCCGAGAAATTGGGACGCCTTGCTCCCGCTGATTTGCGCGCGAATGATGCGACTCCACGGTGGCTCCCTCTCAACGCTAACGAGCTCTCGCATGGCTGAACACTAGAAACGTCTAGACATGGAAAGTAACGAAAGGAGAGCGTAAACCGGTCCGGCGCGTTCCAATTGGAGGCGCAAAATGGAAAGGCGTTTTGGATATGCCGGGTCTCCTTCGAGTGCGAAATAATCGCTTTAACTCCGCACCCTTATGAGGTCCGTCTCTCTCTACTCCTAATGGTAAGTCCCCTTCGTCGACCTTTCCTTTGAAGAAGTGAATACGATAAAGAGAGAGCAGGAATATATGCGTCACACGAAACAGTTAGTTGGCTGCTAAGGACGCGAGATGTCGGGCTTTTACGGAGAAAAGTAAGCTGGTTGCTGAGCATGACTTCAAAGTACTCCGTCCCAATGGCGATTCGCCTAGTAGTTTGTTGGTGATCTGGACGAGCTGTGTTGCCAGCAGCGGCACAACTGGAGCAACTCCGACTGAAGCGTGATTTGGCATGGTGCCACCAAACGCGTTGCACTGATCAAAGGGGGGGGAGGAGTTTATCACCCTAAACATTTCATGACATTTCCTTTATTCACATCTGTGTAGAGCAACCTTCAACAAGAAGAAGACGAAAGTGTAAGCGGTATCAGAGCAATGAGAGGCGGTAAATCGTCCATACTTCTGCCGTCTTTTGGCCGCTGCCAGTTCTGTTAATTCGCAACCGGTTGATCCGCTTTGCTTTCTTGATCGCTTCTCTGCGTTTTTCGCTAATTCTTGAGACAACACCCACCCCCCCCCCCCACTTCACTCTGTAAACCTCTGCTCCGATCTTCCGTTATCGTGAATATAGAGCAACACAGTGTCCCAGAAAAAAGAGCAACACGAACGTCCCTTACCTCTGTAAACTTGTCTAACTAGCTAAAAGACCGTTTGGTAGTAACAGGTTCTCTGCCAATGCTGTTGGATGATAAGTTTCCGTGTAATTGTGAAACCAGCTTTTCAATTCCATGAGAGCAGTCATTGATGTAAAAACACTTGACTCGACATCTGAAAATACCCACCTGTATTGAAGACAACATCATGCCGACAGCGATCGCAGTGCTGATTTCATTATAGTGGAATAGCCGCACTTGTGCACCTCCCACAGTTTTGAAAATCTTAAAAATGAGTAAATTAACTTATTGGATGACCCCCGCAGACCTAGTGGCTCTAAAAAGAGAAAAGTTTCGATATCTCGTGGCAACTTTTACAAAAATTATCCTACAGTATGAAATCGCTCGAAGCGATGGTGTGTCTGCCGGGCCGGGAATTCATAAATTTCTTCTAAATCGTTGAAGAGTCTTCAAACTTGGAAGTAGTAAAGAGCGCGATGGGACAGTGATGGTAGATAATAGAACCTCCTTCCCTCTTGAAGCTCCAGTGCATTTTCTTCGCCCGTGTCGCTCAATTTTCTTTCGCCCCTTTTCTCTTCGCTTTCACTTCTATGCTCATTTCTGTATATGCATTCTTCTGTGCCAAAATGTTCACCTCTAGACTGTTCCTTGCTCGTCTATCTCTGCAGTTTCTGGTTTCCTCGCCTACTGGCTGCCTCTACTTCACGTTATCAATTTGAAGTATGTAATTCTGTCCACTGATGTGTATTTGCTAGAAAATCTCAGCCAATTCATGCTTCTCCTGTTTGTTCCGACTAATTACCCTAATTTCCGGTGTATAAGCCCGCGCCGATTTCACGTAAAACCACCCCCGCTCGTGCAGTGTAACTTTGTACACCTTAGAAACCACCGCAAATTTGCCTATAGAGGTAAGTCGATGCCCTGATCACGAAAATGACTTTCATTTTCAGCGCTGGCGCCATCTGGCGCCAGTTGGCGCCACCTTGTCACGACCCTTGTTTTCGTCCAAAATCGGTGTAAACTTCAGTATAGGGGTTATTTGGGACCCTGATTACGAATATGACATTCATTATAGGCGCTGGCGCTGTTTGACGCCTATTTTCTGCTCGTCTGCGCTCTCCAACCGAGATATGTGCACTAAACAACGTTAACGCCAAAAACGAATGTCATATTCGTAATCAGGGTCCCAAATAACCCCTATACTGAAGTTTACACCGATTTTGGCGAAAACAAGGGTCGTGACAAGGTGGCGCCAACTGGCGCCAGATGCCCACCGCTAAAAACGAATGTCGTTTTCGTGATCAGCATATCGAATTACCCCTATGGGCATGTTACGGTTGACTCTAGATGTACTCAAGTACACTGCACCAGTGGAGGTGTTTTTACATGATACTAGCGGGGGCTTATACACCGGAAAATAGGGTAATCGCGCCTCTATAAAGTGGTCTATGTTGCTCTTCATTTCTATGCCCATTTGTCAATCTCCATTTCTCCTTTCCCATCTTTATCAATAAGAGTATATGTGGTATTCAATGACATTAAATGAAATCTAAGTATGACCTGTACTGAAAACTATCACTCTTAATCGCTTCGGCGTCACCTTACAAGGGAGGTCTTTCAGGACATGGAGCACTTTTCAGAAATGGTTTCTGCATGTTGTGAGGGCTCATGCAAGGAACACAGAACCATAATCCATTTTTCCTGAACGCCTCCAGGAATGTCAAAACAGTGGTGAAGAAATGGTCCAGAGTTCGATCCCCGGTGATGACTAATTTTTGCAATATAGTTTGGCGCCCCAGATTGCCAAAATGGCGCCATCGTCGAGAATAGATGTCATTGTCGTGTTTTGCGGCAATTTGGAGGCGCCAACATAAATTGCAAAAATTTGTCATCACGGAGGATCGAACTTTGGACCATTTCCCCGCTGTTTTGACATTCCTGGGGCGTTCAGGAAAAATGGACCATGGTTCTGTGTTCCTCACATGAGCCTCTACAACATTCAGAAACCATTTTGAAAAAACGCTCCATGTCCTGAAAGACCTCCTTGTTAGGTTGTCACTCGCAATAGTAGCTGAGTACGAACGTAAAAAATGAACCCTTTTAGCTCACTTTTGACAATTACTACTTCCTTCGCTAGGACATGAGCTGCCGTGGCTCAACACTCCTACACAAACCAAGCTCCACACCATCGCCCTCCCCACTCCTCTACGAGGACTAGTTTTACGATGGTGGCGGAACAGTACCATATAATTCCACCAATCGTGATCGATCATATTTTTTCTTATTCCTCAAACTTATCCTGAGAGACAAACAACAATGTTCACTGACTGCTATTACCTCATGACAGACGACTAGCAGAACCGGAGCATCGGTGAGGTACGGTCGTCTCCATGTTTCTTGCAGCTGCGACACTCCCATCACCCATTCCGTTCCTTCGCCCATTCTTGAAAATCAATTTCAGTATATGATAATGCTTAACACTCAATAAAATTGATAACTAAAAACAAGTTCTGTCGGGCGCTGTTGTGTAGTTGATTACTGTTGAGGAGTAACGATTTAAAATAAAGTGGATTGAAATTCACGAAAGGTGTCATCATCATTAGACATCTTTAGTAGTACACTTTTCACGTAATTTTTATTTTTTTCGAATAAGGAAAATAAGTGAGAATAAAATAAGGGTCTATTCCAGTTAGGGGGGCATCATGATGCAGTTTCTCGGCGAACTAGTGTGAACTCGAACATTCCAGCTTTTCACGCATGTCAAGTGACTGCCCTCACCCCCACCCCGTAGACTGGCTACACTCCCCCTGGCTAGGAGTTACCCTAGCGTCCAAGTTCGACTTTGTATCAATCTTGGCATAGTCCAGAATGTGAGAATGTAGTTGCTAAGCTTGTGCTGAACTTTCCAGGCTCTGAAGAAGGTGAAAGCACCGAAACGTCGGCCTGAATAAAGTTATTATCAATCCCAGTTACCCTAGCTTTCTGGGAAAACTGTGTCATGATGCCTCCCCTAAATAGAATAGACCCTAAAATAATATTGAGTGTAAAATATTTGCTTCTAAAACATTTTAACTTGAGCAAGATTCATGAAAATGGCTAGAGCTTCGGCCAGAAAACGAGAACGCATTTTTTGACTTGTTCTGTTGCTAATTGCTGTTTTAATGCCTCAGTTTGCTTTCTGAAATTTCAAAAGAAAGCTGGATTATGGGCAAAAATTTTCGTCGGTGTCGGGAATCGAACCCCTCGCTTTTAGCACTTTGTAATTTCGCTTGTACTTTATATTTTTACTGGAACGAGAAGTGCAATTCAGTTCCAGATGGGTGAAGAGGATTTGCGCATTACTCAGCACTTTCTGTGAAAACAGCATATTACTTTGCCTTTGCGTATGTACATATGTTCAAGTAAACATTGTTGGGAAACAGGAATTGGCAGCGACAAGTAAGGCCTAGACACACCCCCAAATTCCGCCCCAATTGTGAAAGCCTGGCGTCAAATCTAAAATTCTTAATTTTGCACCACGGTGGGGCCAATAAAAAACCGATTGCCTCAGATTGAGCAGACAGTAGCGATCAGAAGTTTTCGCCGAAACGCTTTTCGAAGCCTTTGTTTCAGCAGAAATCTACCGATTAGTTCGAAGCCTTTTTTACCTAAACTCTTCAATAGTCAAGGTTTTGCAAGGCTTCAAAAGGCATGTCTTATTAATATTTGAAGGGCACTGTTTGAGTGAGCAAAAAAAAAGTGCAGAAAAAAGTCTTCGGCGAAACACTTTCGACCGCTAGCTGTAACACTAAACATGAAACACCACACGGCAAGACTCAGTCAAGAACAGACTCTGCAACTCAAACGCTGACCTGCTGATGTGAAATTTTATAGAATTTGTGGTTCAATGAAATCTATTCAAGATAACATTCTTCCAAATGTGGGATCCAGTGGATGGAAGGTCACAGCCAATGTGAGAAAAGTTCTCTTACACAGTGCGTTTTTTGAATCCTTGGGTTTTTGCCTGCTACAAGTTCCATCGATTTTATTGAATTTTCTTACGTGGCTCTTGCTCACGTCTTCAATAAATAAACCAATAAACAAAGTGGGGAACGTCTATGACGTTTCTTGTGCGCCCTGGCCACATTCTGATTTCAAGCGAAAGGTACGACGGTCATCGTATTAGGTTGTCTCATAAGTAGTGTCGCTTTTTTTCAAACAAAAAGTTTTCTCGTAAATCCTTAGGCTTTCACACCATATTATATACCATTCGAAAGAGAATCGTCTGCTCTACAAGATGCTATGTTCCTTTCCACCTCTGTTCCAGGGTTTTCAAATTTTAGGCCTGCGAAATGGGAGGTCCAGCCGACAAAAATTGACCAAACCGACAACTAGCTCTAACTTTATTTTCCCTGGAGAAATCAATCAATGATGTACCCTCTACTTACCCATGACCTCTTCTAAACATTCCACTCTTAGGTTGCCGAAAAAACTTTGCCGTTGTTCTTTTTCGAATTGGCTGACGGATAAGCCATAGCAATTTTCAAATTAAAATTGTTCCTCGTAAACGCCATTGTTTCATACCAAGTGGTGTTCCTTTTAGGAGCACTTCTTCTGCTCTCATCCCTGATTTGTTTTATTCTTATGTTTGTTGGGAATTAGTTCGAATTTTAGGTGTTTAGGAATAAGGTGTTTATCCGCGAAAGTGACCGCATTTCTTTGAAAAAAATTATCCCTGAGAAGATGAGAAAATCAACCAGGCGTACATTCCTAACTTAGTCATGACTTGTTCTTTGAAATTCTACTAGTTTTTCAATGTCTCGGCTATAAAAAAATTTCGACCTAGATCTCAGGTAATGGTGCTCGACCGTCGAGTTCTGGTTGAAAAACCAGGTCTGGAAAAGGAGCGACGCGACTTGTTGGGAAACCTAATAGTGTAATGTTAAGAAGAGGTCATGTGTAAGTAGAGGGTACATCATTGATTGATTTCTCCCAAGGGAAGATAAAGTTAGAGATAGTTGTCGGTTTGGTCAATTTTTGTCGGCTGGACCTCCCATTTCGCAGGCCTAAAATTTGAAAACTGTGGAACATAGGTGGAAGAAGAACATAACATCTTGTAGAGCAGACAATTCTCTTTCGAATGGTATATGACACGATGTAAAAGCATGAGGATTTGGATGAAAATTTTTTGGTTGAAAAAAAGCGACACTACTTATGAGACAACCTAATACATAGTTCACTGACCTTTGAAGGACGTAATAACAACCAATGCACGCATTGCGCGAGCGCCCCGAAAAACTCACCAAGAAGCAATAAGCTTTCTAGTCACTTTCCTTAAACTGAAGCATAGCTTAAACCTGTTTCCACTTTCTAAAATGTCCTCATTCGAAAAATATACAAGGTTTGCCTCATAGTTCATATTATCCCGCAGGAAAGGCATCTCCGCTTCAATCTCATAAAAACACACCGCAAACATTGATTGGAATCGGTCATGTGCATCCGAACCCAAACTTATGGTCAGAATATGCGCACGGTCACCATGCGTAATGCCGACTTACAAGCTTCGTTGTCTTAGCATGTTGAGATATGAGGAAACTCCACCGAAAGTTTTTGGGCTCCAGCAGTCTAAGCATGTGAATTGAAAAAAAAAATTCCGAACCGTTTTTGACCGCTTTACTCTTGCCCTCCAGCCACTTATTAACACGTTGACGACAGCGCAGGACACATACGTCCCGCACTTTGCAGACCACAACGGACAACGCGGGACGTATGTGTCCTGCACCCAATGCATTCATTTTTTTCTCGCACACGTGATTCATTTTTAGGCATCTTGTATTCATTCCATAGAGAAAACCTTAACATAGATAGAAACATAGTAGCTCTTAGAGTGGTCACGTGTGCTTCAAATTAGGGGAGGTTTTCTGAACCGAACGAAATCGTCAACCCAGTTGATTTTTTGTTTACATTTTCTTTTCATGAATGTGAATATTTAAAGGGTAGTGTAAGTCAATACGGAACCTCAAGTATGACAAGATATGTGTTTGGATTGCAATAATCGGTGCAAAATTGCTTTTGACGTTCATTGCAGCTGATTCTGACAAATTTTGCTTTTTCACTATTATTTCATCCGACTTTCAACCAAATTTTCACTACTATATCTCTGGGGCGCTTCTACGCACTGAAAGACTAATCTAACTTTGTATCAATCATGTTTTATTCATTTACCATGCAAAATTCGCCTGATGGACCTGAGGCGGCGGCGCTCGCAAAATCGCGCCGGTCCCACGCGGTCAAAGAAGCCAAAACGCGCGTTGTCGTCAACGTGTTAAATACATTTGTCTTGCGTGCTGACTTGCCGTTTTTACTATAAGCGTTGTCGCAGCTCATCAGAAAGTGGTGGGCTGTCAGGAAGAGTTTCTGCAAATACAGTGAGTGAGGCAGAACTTCGTATCCCAATTCGTTCAAGTTTTGGAAAGCCAGTTGTGTGACATGGGACCGCGCGTTGCCGTAAAGAGAGATCAGCGCTTCGCTTTAATGTAAGGCTAGGTTGGTCCAACTTCTAGATCTACTACTCCGTCATAGTTGTTTCACTGAGTTTCTAGGAGCGGTCGTAAATCAGACTCGTATAACTAGGAACACTGTACAAATCATCACGACTTTTATTGGCAATTCAATTGGATAATCTGTCTCTCTTCCAGCGGAACTCACCAATAGGCCGCGACCCTTCCCGATTGTCATAAAGTATCATATTTCGACGTGTCGCCACGTTACCAACTCTCGTAGAAAAGGATTGTTCATTGTTGGCCCGCGAAAGAAGCGCGGACACAACGGTAGCATACATACCGGAGAACTTCCCCTGATGCATGTCCAACTGTAGGAATTCCCGTAGCATCTTTATCTGGGCTAAGATTTCGCAATACACCTAGATATGCTCTCCTTTCAAAAAAACGTGAGAGCTTGCGCTGGAGACGCATACACCACAAAGCCTCGTCACAAACCCTGAACATGATTAGCTCTGCGGCGGTTGCATTCCATCAACGCTCTCCGCAGACTTAAAACTATCACTTGCCAAGAAGTCAGAACCTACTACCCCGGCCGCAACTACCGATCCGTCCCGTTTTTCTTCATTACTGCCTACTGACATAACATGACACTGTACAATAGCTATGATAATGTAAACTACTATGAACCACTATAACCAGATTTATTATGCTTGGAAGCCGTCGTCACTTATGGTGTATGGTCTGCACCCAACGCTCTTCTCGTTTTTGAAAGGGAGGGTAGTTTGCTAGTTTCCGCTTAGCAGTACATATGTTTTCTTTCCTCAGCTCGTTTGTATTGGAGTAATCGAGCGCAGAATCACATAAGCGACGTTTCTCATCTCGAAGTAGAATTTCTAAGCATATACATCAGTACAATCCCTGCCAATCAATTTGTTGTCAAATTTGCATCGAAGGAGCCAGGTCACAAGACTGACAAACTTCCGGACAACCTAATAAATTAGTGCACGATAATGCAAGCCACATGTCACGAAAATCACACAACAAGAAATCGCGAGAAGTTGGGCGGGGAAGTTCTGCCTCACACGTCACATAGCTCATTGTCAGATGTGGCGCCGGCCGACTGTCATGGTACAGGTCAATGCAGTACTCCTTAGCAGTAAAGAGATTCAGTGACCGGAACGATGTCAAAATTTGAGTGAGCTCAAAATCAGCTTCTTCTGTGTCGAACTTGCAAGCTTTTCGAGGAAGATATCCATCCCCAATAAAACAAAAGGAGAAAAGCCATTGACCCAGATGAAATGTTTTGGGTCTATGTGCTTTGTTGTTGTTTTATAACAAAAAAAACAGTTGATCGGGGAGGACATTTCAAATTAACCAACCTAATAGTATTTCAGCCCTATTTCAATATCAGTAATGCAATGGTAATCTGCCCAAGAACAAGTCGATTTTTAAAAAATTGCTGATTCATATAGAAGGGGCTGTGGGAAACGACCGCTCTATAATATACGGCATGAATATCCTACGTCAACACTCGGCCCTTTAGAAATATCCCAACTGGTATAGCTTTGTTGAACTGCACACGAGGTTGATACTGACAGTTTATTGGCTTACGTTTCGGCGAGTTCGCCTTCTTCGGAGCCTTTACCAGATCCACTGGACCAGCCAACGACAAGCACAGTACAGTAAGACTTCGGGTGGACCGTAATTCCAACTGGAATGGTCCAAATAAGGGGACAGACAAAACGCGCTAATCTTGACAGTTGTCCCAAAAGTGTAAAGCTTCCAAAAGAGCTAGTGCAATGTGTGCAGAGCGCCCACCGAAAATGGCAGAGGCACAGGTGAAGAAATCGCTCCGTGTGGTTACGAGGGCCATCACATGGCGCACACGCCACAGTGCACGCTGGTCCACGCGCTGTTGCCCGCGCAAGACAGGGTTGCGACTTAATTTGTTAAGGAGAAGCGATAGAGAAGTAGGCGAACAATATACAAATATATAGTACACAAAAGTAGCTGTGATCTTTATTGACTTTGCTGCATTTCTTTTGCCACACGTGGGTTATGGGTTGTAGCACATAGGGGAGATCTTGAGGTCATCGAAAGGGCCAGTTTTACCACAACAACCGCGAAGAATAATGAACTCACCGGCGCACGTAATTGTCTCTGGCATCGGCTTCAACAAGAGACCGAATTTCCGCTTTTCTCTTCTCGTCGACGACCACACAGAATTTCCAAGGCTTGTGCGTTACCAACACTGGGTGAGCAACCTAAAGAAACCGCT